CAGACAAGAGGAATACAGAAATATATTACATCTCAAGATAGAGAAGATACTTCACCACTGTACATTTACAAGCTTTTTTGCTTCCCCTTTTATTAACCCATTCTGCAGTCTCCATCTTCTTCCTCTTTCACAATGCTCTATTCACCCTGGTCAGCTGTAAAGGACCAGAGAACAGAAAACTTTCTGACACCACTACCCCTTGTCTGCCTGCTGATTGTATAGATTTGTATAGATGGTATTGGTCTTCTCAACACATGAATTAGCTTTCTGTAGTTCATTTTGTAAGCTACACTGAGAATTTCCTAAATTATTCCCAGAAGTAAAAAATAAAATGGAAACAATATCTACTGCAGTGGCAAAAATCTAAATGTTTTCATGTTCTCCCTTTCTTTTCCTTCATTCCCAATTGAAAAATCTTTGTGAGTAAATGCTGCAGTTGATGCTACAACTGTTTAAGGATTATCCTTATGTCCTGTGTGCTGTTCCTACAAACATGAAACTTTAAAGCACATACAGCAGTAAGACTGAGTGATGCCCTTGGTTCGTTTGTTCAGACCCAGTTATTGAGGCATAAATAGTGTGCTGTGTAATACCATGAACTGACCCAGGAGTGCCTATAATACACAGGTACAGTGAGACCTAGAAAAACTGAGTGCTCAATGTTAAAACAGAGAGCCAGCACTACCTGCTTTCCTTGCCCAGGTCTTACAGAGCTGTGACAAATGACACAGTACTTTCCCCTTCTGCAGGATGGAGTTCCATATGTGACTACCTCAGGGGAATCTGCAAAGCTTGAATATTAACATTCAAAACCCACAAATTCTCATCTTCATCATTCTCTCCTTCCTCCCCGCCCCCCAAAAGAGTTTTCACCTAAATGCAAATTAATTTTAAGCTGTCACAAAAAGAATTAATTGCTGCATTTAATCTGTTTTTGTTTTAGGAGTATGAAAACTTCATGAAAGTGCATAAAAAAATGATATGTTAAATGCTCCCTCCTGAGTCACTAAGTCACTGTGGTCCATCATTGCAAATTTAATTACATTTAAAATAGAAGAATATACTTGAATTGATAGAGCATAATGGCTGCTTTGGTGCTGCTGTAGATATTCATATAAAGACTTAAAGAAACACATGGATTACTGACCTGACAGGCCACAACAGTAACCTAAACAGCATCATAATCTCTATGATGAGAGACTTTGAATTCTTCATATTTCATGGACCCCCTGACACAAGGGATGGAAACAGGATAGAGGTTTATAATAGAAATGCTGACACAACCTTACCTATAGCTGTGCAAATGGTGCTTCTATAATTAAACTTTACAACTTCAGCACCACTAGATAAGTTGCTACTTTTTAATCATATTAATCAGAGCTTCATGTTTCAATTGCCATATATTATCATGCAGTGTGAACTATAAAAATAAAAAGATTCCCAGCCGCTAAATATCACAGCTGTTATGAAACACAGAAGTATATTCAAACACTTCTCTGTAAGTGCAAATACACTGAAGGAAAGCCTCAGATGATTATCCATTTTTTTGGTTTTTTTCCTAACACATGGGTTCAACATAATGGCCACAGAAAGTACTCTGAATGCATTACAAGAATATCACTGAACAGTAAAAAAGTTTCATTAATATCTGCCCTGTTTCAAATTTTCCTATCAGCAGTAAAACAAGTCTACTGTTTTCTATGACAATGACAGCCAGAAGCCTGCTCTGTCAGAGGAAGGCATTGAGATTATTCTTCATGCACTGCTGTTTTCTTTAAAAGCCAGCTCTCCAGCAATAGCGAGGAGTGGGTGGCCAAAATCTCACTGCTTTCAGTGGTCTGAGATTTGGAGCCTGGGAATGTTTTATGTAAATATTTCTCTTCACATTTTCTCTTCATTTGTCCGAGTGATTTACAGCTTTACTTCAGCAAGGAAAGTTTCCTCTCAAAAAAGCTATATTTGGTGCAAACTGAAGAGATATTGCATTGGAGCTGAAACCCTCTATTTTTACCAAGTGGGCATGGCTAACTACAACAATAAAATTAATCTATAAATAAAACTTGGTTGCTTACCATTCTCTATTGTCCTGAATTTGCAAATCCTTGCATGCTGCATGCCACTTTACATGTACCATGTGATAAATTCCCACACTGTCAGTGCCTACTCCTCTACAGCACCAGTTTTATAACACCTTCTGGAGACAATTGTGCTCTCCTTTGAGATGGGTGGTTACAGGTATGTGGCCTGTGTGTCACAAGGGGTCTTGTAAGCAATCAGTGGAAAGAGCATGCCTGTAATTCTCTGTGGGGGAGACTATGCAATGGACATTTCTGAAAATTATAAGAGCTGTAGCAATGCATAGGAGTTGCCATAGTGTTATTCTGACCCCTGAAGGATGGAAACAGAGTTAACTTCATATCCTTTTTTTCTCAATTTACTCAGTATACTCTATGAATGTCAAACTCTAAACTGCATTAGCAGGATATTTTAGTGCTTGCCCAGACCTATCCTCCAGAAATATGAATATAGTCATGAACTAATAGTGAATGTACTTTAAAATACTGATGTTTTCAGGCAAGCAGGAAAAAATGATTTTTCAGGCTGCTGTAGGGTAAAATTACTGTGAGTTTGATAGTGCATTAAATCTAGTAGGTATGTGAAGATCATGTTTATCAAAAGATGTAAAACCCACTCTGCCCTCACCTCTTAACTGAAAAGTATTTTAGTGACATTTTGCTGGAATGGATTCAGAGTGAAGTGGGGAAGGACACAGGTCAGTGATGATAAGATCACTCATTTCAGCTGAGTTAAGATTTCATCAGGCTTACATTTTTCAGAAAATGCATGTGTTAGAGGTATGGGCCCTCAGCAGTGCCTTTGTGAGCTTATCTATCTTCAAGGAGTGCTCTTCCCCCTCCTCCCCCTGAACAGATAGGAAAAGTGATTCAGGATTCTAAAAGGGGCATTAAGGCATATCCTGATACTGCTATCTTTGAGGACAATTTGCTAAAAAAGTCTGAGTTAAACCAATGGGACTCCTGTTACACCTTTGCTCTTCACCCACTCACTTCTAAGCCGCCTGAAATGCGTTAAGGGACCACCTTTTGTGTTCCTGTCAATGTAACAGGTGTATGAAGCTGCTGTATCTGACAATACTTTTTCCCCACGTCAGTCACGCTGTATTGTGACACAGTGGAGCAGCACCCTGCCAAAGCTGCGAGCAGTCGCTGCTCGCACCGAGAGAGACTCAGCACACAGCGCTGGCGGTGCTGGGCGCCGCGCACGCCCGGCCGAGCGGCACCGGCTCTGCCTGGAGCACTGAGGGTCAGCAGAACGCCGTGCAAGGAGCCAGGCCACGGCCGGGGAGAGGAGGAGGAGGAAGAAGAGGAGGAGGATCAATTTTAATTTCGGTTTTGTTCCTCCTCCGCTCAGCTGTTGCCATGCACCCAAGTCCCAGGTTGCGGTGTGACCTTGCGAAGGAGCCGGGGCCGCTCAATGGGACCATTGTGCAGCCTGGCCGGGGCTCCTCGGGAGCCTCTCCCGGGTGTGGCTGAACCAGCCCTCGGCAGCCTCCTCCTCCTCCTCCTCCTCGTCCTCCGTGAACTCCCTGTCCCGGGGAAACTCCGCCAGCAGCACGCTGATGCAAAAGGCAGCCTGCAAGAGGCAAACCCCTTGTCAGGAGCTGAGCAAGGATCTCCCCTCCTCTGCCCAGGTCTCCATCCCTCGCTGCCGGGAGCGCTACAAAGTTAAGCCAAGTGATCGATACGCTATAGGAGAATATTATTCCACTATCGGCGACTGATGCCACTGATGTAATCAAGTTACATAATCACCGTCTTTGCACAAATACATCCATCTTCCTACAGACAGATCTGCATATCTTCTTCCATCCATTATGCATGAACTCACCAGCAGTACATAAGGGTACATATTTTCGCACACACTATGTAACTTTAGCATTGCAGTGCATTGCACTGCACAACGTCATCACTATCGATTCCCTCAACCTTCCCCCATTCCCTCTTATCAGAACTGATTTTGCAGAGAGAGATTACCAATGTGCATTGCTCGGATCCCTTTAAATCTTTAAAGGCTGAAGTGCTTCCCTCACTCGCTTCTGTTCTTAAGAAGATGATCTTTCCTTTTTCTCTCGTCTCGTTTCACACCACAAGTAACAGGAATGAATTCCCACACAGTCCCTCAGCCAGATGCATGTATGTATGAAATACCGAAGATAGCATCTCTGTTTGCACATCTTCCAACTCCCATACACGTGGTCTGAGATTTCAGTAGGTAAGTTATTGGGTAAAAAAGATATTTTGTAAGAGCAGCTGGATGAGATATTTTCAGGCTAGTGACATTTATGGTCTTTCTCTACTATGAAACTGAGGGGATTCTGTCCTTAGCACCTCTCAGTTTATAATTTCCTTGCAGGATTTACAGGAACAGTTGTAATCCCAAATTACCAATGGCATTTAACCCCTTTAGCACCAGTGCACTGTACCACGATCAATAAGGATCACCACCTTAAAGTTTAACAACTTGAAAAGCAGATTTTCTCTACCTCCATTGCAGCTATGAAATGCAGCAGAACGCTGCACAGAGTTGGAAACATCTTTTCAACCAGAGGATGGGATCCGATCTCCTATTAATTAGATTCCATCACAGAGAGCTTCTTAGCTGTCACATAACCTTTCCAGTCAAATATATTACAACCAGGGAAATAAAAAAAATAAAAAGAGGGAAAATTAAAGATTCCTTGCTCTTACAGTACTCTCCTAAATCCAGAGGATGCATAAATACAGAGGGAGGAGATTTTTTTTTTAATTTATCGCAAAAAGCACTCACCAGAAGACCCACTGCAGTTATTCCACTCAACTGCCAATAGCGGCTGGAGCCCCTCGCATCAGGGTAATGCAGCAATCCCGAAAGTGCCCATTTCAGTCACCCGCCACCAAGTTTAGCAATGCCGGGCTTTTGCCTGGATAAAATGACCTTACCCACAGGAGTCTCCCGAAATATTCCTCCGGTGCGATCAGTCAGCGAGGCGAGTGCCGGTCACCACACTGCGCACTCGGCCGGAGGAGCCCCGTGTTTACTCCTGGGGCTCAGCTGGCCGCGAGTGCCGCGGACGCGGCGCCCATCCATCCACCGCTGCCAGCTCCGCCGGGGGCGCAGGTAATTCCATACAGACTTCGGCGCCCCCCACCCCCCCCGAGTCGCCCCTTCCTTCCTAGTTCAGAAAGTGCCCGCGTCGCCGGCGGGAGGTACCATCCAGGTGCGGCGAGGGGGGGCGGGGGGAAGGGGGCGGCCGGCCTGGGGCCCCCGCGCCGCCCGCGGGCAGCTCCGCGCCCAGCGCGCCGGATCCCGGCTGCCCGCACAAGTATCCGGCGATCGACGATCCGGAGGGGGTTCCTGGGTTCCTTTCCTGGTGCTGGGCGAATGTGGGGAAAACGCTCCGGAGGGGGGGGGGGGGGGGGGGGGCCGGGGGAGGGTGCCTGACGGGTCCTAGCACCCGCACCGCAGCGCCAAAAAAAAAAAAAAAAAAAAAAAAAGGAAGGAAAAAAAATAAAAAAAGGAGGGGGGAGGTTTTGGGGGAAATTCTCCAAATGGAAAAGAAGAAAGGAAAAAAAAAATCAGTTGTCCGCTTGCCCCGAACGATACTAATCCCCGGTGAAAATGACAAGTGATCAGCAAAGAAGAAGAGGAGGTCTTGATTGATAACCACAATCCACCCAAAATATCCTCGGGAGCAGAGGAAGAGAGGGAGGGAGAGAGGCGAGAGAAACTGCAGTGCATGAACGATCCCTGTGTTCCTACGAGACGGGCTCGCTCCCTCGCTCGCTCGCTCGGCGGAACGCGCCCTCCGCCGGGCCGGCAGGAAGGGGCCGGCACTGCCACCCGATGGACAGCGCCGCACTCGCCGCGCTGCGGGGGGAGCCGCCGGGGAGGGCCCTTCCGAAGGGATCCTGGAGAAACTCCTGGCGAGCGGGGCCTCCCTCCTTCTCTTGTCTCCCTCCGCCCCGGCGCCGCCCGCCTCCCCGCGCCGCCTCGGCCCGCAGCGCCGGGGCCGCTCCGCTCGGCTCCGCTCGGCTCCGCTCCGCCGGGGCAGCGGCGGGGGCACGGCCGGGAGGGGAGCGCCGGACGCGCAACACGCGCGGGGGTCAGCCGGCTTCGCTTCACCTCCTGCGCTTCATTTTATTTTTCTCCCCCCTCTTCCCCTCCGGTTTCCCAAGCGAAGTGTTTTAGGAGAGATGATACATTATCTATTCTTGGATTTTTATAAGGCAAACTGTGGGCCTCGCTGTTGCCATGGGATCTTCTTTGTGCGAACTCTCTGAACTGTGTGGGAACAGTTTTATTTCCTTCCCTTCAGATTTTTGTCTTTATTTTTTTTTCCTTCTCTTCTTCAACTCTTCTGAAGATATGTATCAAAATGTAACTGCATTATTGCCAATTAAGATTAACAGCTGCTGCAAGGTGCATCTAATTAGGAATGTTAATTACTTCATGAAATAAATAGTCATTTGCGGATGTTTATTATACTAAACAAATGTTCTGTAAAACATAACTCAAATTCTGACACTCCCCTCACTACATTTGTTCCCATTCCTGCACAAATGTGCAGGGAAGTAGGCACCCCTTCTTCCATTGCATTTACCTTCCAGGTGCACACACACAGGGAAGAGATAAGAGTTGCCTGTGCATAGGTACAGGGTCAGATGGGAGGCATTTTGAACTCTTATAAGCCATTGTATGGGGTGGGAGTGTGGAGGAGCAGGAAACAGCTGAGCAATATGAGATAAATGTGTACAGTTACGTATCTGTTTATTTCTTTGTAAAACTCTCCAAAACTGGGACAAAGAGACTATGCAATGTTTACTTACCTCTTCATCCATCCTGGCTCCTTGTAGGGTCACAGAGAGGAATCCAAACTGCTGCAGTTATTAAACCCCCAATATCTTACAAGAGAAAGGAGAAAAGAAAAAGCAGCCCATGGAAGAATATGATTTTATTATGGAATATGATAAAGGATTATCGATAGGCAGATAACATGCCATGCAGAGTCAGTGGGTTGCAGGAGGGGTGGGAGCTGTTGCAGAATTTGTGGAACTTGCTCACACCCCACCCCACCTCGCCTTATAACAGAATGGCGTTCTTTATGTCAGATAAAAAAATAGATGAAACTACAAATGAGTGCAGGAACCAGAAGTCAAAATCCAATGTTAAAACAAAACAATTAATGTGACTGGTTAAACCATGCATTCAGCTACTACTATGATGAGTGATCCATATGCGTGGGCAGGTAAAAGAGACATGAGAAACTTTATGGGATTCTCTTTGTGGATCAGTATAGGACATTTTATGTTAGCTAAGTGACTCATACCATATACTTTAGAGAGCAGGTTTGGGTGCTTGATTTAGAAGGCTGGGCATCCTAGCTGTTTGACAGAGTGAGAGGGAAAGACAGAGGGGTTCCCAACTTTGATTCTCACCATTATCCTTTGGGAGAGCTGCTTTCTCACCATGGGGATGTGACAACAGACTCCCAGCACAGGCACCTCCATCACGGGAATTCCAAGAGTCTCCCTTGTGCCTTGACAGAGCGACAGATGCTTGAGGCTGCTCATAGTCTGCAAAGGGCAGAGAGTAGGAAGGAGGTGCTTGGGCTAGACCTAACCATTTACCTTCAGTTCCTGACGCTTTACAGATTACTCTTCCTCTGATAGCCAAGTCATTTAATGTCTCCATCCTTTTGTTCCTTCTCTGTATAAGGTGAATTAACACTGTTCCTACTCATAAGGGTGCAGTGAAGATAAAAAGGCATTAATGTTTGTTAGGTGTTCTTACACAGTGGTCATGGGAGCTATATAAGTTCCCAGAGAGGCTGATTAAGTGGCAGAAGAAACGGAAAATGAAAAAGGGTGGAAGCCAAAAGCTGTGAACAAAATACAATGGAATTGCTAAAATGGCTGAAACCAGACTAATAACAAAGAAAAGCTGTAGACCATTCACATGTGCAGAATACAAACCACCTGTGTTCTTGTTAAATTTATCCCAGGGTTAAAGAAACTAGATTCCGTTCACTTCTCAGTTACTGAATTGCTATGAAGAGCAATGCAGTTGTATGGATACAAGCATAAGAGATTTTAAATTTAATTTTTTTTTCTCAGCCACATACTTAATCTCTAATTGACTTCATCCTCCCTTAATAAGTATGGTTTTTATAATATAGAAGGGGATCTCCTTTGTCCTCATCATGACTTGTGTTTTCAAGAAATTTCACCAAAGAGAAGAGCATAATCTTGTCTGTTTTAATTCCACGGCGTTCAGTGCGTGCTGAAATGTTTAATAAGAATGAGTAGTGTATCTTGTACCTGAACCATATGTGTGATCTTGATGCTTTGTGTCCCTTGAAAAAAGGAAGAGGCACAAACCACATCCTCTTATATACCTCAGTGTGTTTCCTTAAGAGGACCATCACATTTGGTGTGTATTAAGTGAAACAGTGCAGTCAAAGTAAGCTTCCTTTTCTAAAAGTAATACATATCTAAAATGAAAGGGCTGACAAGAGTTTATGGGTCTGAAGAACGTTAACTTCATGCAGAATGCTCTTGGTAAATCCAATCTGCTTGAATGGGTACTGCCCAAGAGCTGATATCCACAACCCCCTTAGCTGCCAGGGGTTTTACAAAACATCATGGCCTCATGCATACTCTGCCAGCAAATCTGTCCAGAGGACCCAAAGACTGACAGGTCTTGATTTCTTGCTACCTTCCTGTGGATTTTAGGTAGTAAATATTGTTTCCATTTGAGTATTTATTTTCCACTTCTTAGCAAATGCAGGGAGAAACAGGGTAACACAAAACACCAGCACTTGCACATTCTCTTGCTGAGTGTGCATACACAATAGAACTATGACATGATATGAATCTGACAGCATGGAAAACAAGCATAGATTTTTAGATTTAAAAAGTAATGAAATCACAGTTTCCAAAATATGCCTTCACTCCCCCACTAAAAACACCAAACAGAACCCCTGCTCATGTAAAAATCTGCTTCTGAGCCCTTTGGTCATGTAAACTACATCCTCAATCTAATCACTAAACAGTTTCAGTAAAGAAAAAAGATCAGCATTTTGCCTAGCTTTTTTCTTTTCCCCTTTTCAAAACACAATTGCATTGATCTTATTAGAAGTAGGTTCCCTTTTGTCCACTTCTGGCAGACTAAGTAGTCTTGAATGCTTCAGAGATGAACAAAGGAAAACCTGAAATATGCTATGTGATTAACTTCCTAGTTCTTGAGTTCTTGTGTATGTTTTATCTTTTTAAATTTTGTATATTTTACAGTATATATAATTGCATTTTATTTGTTGAGTGCTTTATATATTGTACCTTACTTACTACCATACATATTCTTTTCATAAGTCTAGGCAAGAGTGTTCAAGAAAGAAGATATTTTAGAAAGAATAATCCCTAATTCTGTGTCATGTGAAAATTTTGAAAGCAATTTCCTTTACAGAGGAGCCTGACTCTAACGAGCACATATCTAGTCAGGGAATAATACTCATCTAATAATGAAGAGATTTAGTCACAAAAATTCTTGCTTATAGTTTTAATTGCAATTATATTTTTCTTTTCCTGAGCCACTGTTGGGTTTGCATGGTCAGATTTTGGTAGCAGGGGAAAGAGCTACAGGGGTGAGAAGCTGCCGGAAGCTTCCTTCATGTCCAGCAGAGCCAATGCCAACTCCAGGATGGACCCACTGCTGGCCAAGGCTGAGCCCATCAGGAATGGTGGGAACACCTCTGGGATAACCTGTTTGAGAAGAAGAAAAAAAACAAGTTACTGTGCAGCTGTAATCACAGAAGAGCAGGGTGAGAACAGGTGAGAGGAGCAGCTCTGCAGACCCCAAGGTCAGTGGAGGGGAGCAATAGAGAGGCTTTGGTGGGTGGGTGGCAACCCACCACAAAAACATGCACCTTTCCCTAGGTACAGCATGCTGTGCTGATAGCTGAGCTGTGTTGTCCCAAATGCTACAGTTGTACCATGCTTTTCTTGT